TGTCCTTTTGTACCTACTTTAAAGTTACCACTTTTCAAAACCAAACCAAACCAAACCAAACCTCACCTCATTTAAAAGTTTCAAACAAGGAAGACATTTCTAATAGTAAACAGGGAAAAAGGCAGTAGAATGTTCAATGTAGCTGAAATATAACAACCTTTAAAACAAAAATTTATACTTTAAGTATTTAAAAGTTGAAATAATATAATTAAACTACTATGTAGGAAGAGTTTGAAGAGAGGGTTTTGGTTATTTTTCTTAGATGCACCTTTCCTTTTTTAATTTTTTCAATCCACGACAACCTTCACTTGACAACAGAGTTTGAACAGTTGAGTTGTGAGAATGTGAGCAGCTGCTGTTATTATAACTAAAGGTCTGTCTATGGCTTGAGTCTGAGAGACCACATGTTCGGCTGTCCTCTCATCTTGCCATCCTCACCAATTAACTATTAACATGGAGGGCTGTACACATGCTCTTGGGGGCTCTTTAACAGGCTTCTTGGCGAGTGGCACAACTACACAGCAGGGATCTGGGAACTGAGTAATGCTGGAATATAGGGACGCCACCCGTAGTTTTGCTCCTTCTAATGACACTTTACTCCACAGTTCAGCATGTAACAAAGTCTGTTTTTAACTTAGCCATTTTCACATTCATTTTAGTACAATGTCTTTGGGCAGACACTAAAACTATATTCTAATAAGAGATTATATGAGAATAATGTTACTTCACAGGGAAAATTGTTCAAGACTATATAAACATGATTTAAGTCATTCATAGGATATTTGCCAAATAATTTTAGTGTTTTCTTAACAAATGTTTGGAGTTTATTTTTATACATGTGCTTCAAAGTATGCTTGTCATTTTACTCTGTGTTATTATGGAAAAAATCTTTAACTCAAAGGAAATAAAAAAAATTCAAGCTTAATTGTGAGGCCAAACAAAATATTTCAAATGCAAAGTTAAAAATCATGCTTTGTTAATTCTACTTGCAAGTCTTATTATGACAATAAGTTAAAATCAGTTTTGAGTCTACGTCATTATTTTCCCTATTTTAACTTTTCCCCCTCTTTGCAATTTCCCTAACTATGTGTTCCTTGCCTACAATGAAATTAAACATGGGAAGCATGCCAAAAGTACAATAAAGGGTAACTAATCATTACTGTACAAGTCTGACAGAATGCTAATAACTAAAATAAGAACACTGATTGGTTGGTTTAGCACTCTAAGAGATGAAGATACTTTATGTATTTTTAATCTAGTGTTACTTTATTTATAGATGCTTAATTATATGACAAAATTTCCAAGGATATCAAACTACATTTCTAATTCCTGCCAGAAACTATTTTACTATCAACATCCAAGTCCAAGCATCCAAATACCTACATATATTATTTTCCATCCTTTTACATTGCTAAAAAAGCCCCATGGGAATAGGAACTTTGTCATATTCAATACTACATTCCCATGGGTGCCTAGAATAGTGCTTGCTATCTTCATTGAATAAATGACTAAGCTAAATTACCTTTAGTCATTTCAATCACAATTGAAACTTCAATTTAGTCTCTAGAGATGGCAATGGTAATAGCGGAAAGGAAATTTACATATGATATTAAAAGAGTTTTGTTACAACCTGGCGATAATACATCTGGATGGATATCTAACTTTATCTATGCCTTGGGGTCTGTCTCAGGCCTAATCTATGAGAAGCTGCCAGTGTTTCTCATAAAAAGAATTAGGAAACTAAAGATTTCTATTTTTTTTTTTTTTTATATTGGGGATTGAACCCTTGGCCTTGTGAATGCTGATCACATGAGCTAGTCCCTTGGTTGCACTGACAGACTTTACATCTTATCATTGTAGACTGATCTCTGTTCAAATTCTCAGTTTTGGAGGTCTGTTTAAATAACATATAGTGAAGATAACATAAACTGAATGCCTACTATGTGCCAGCAGTGTCTCAGTTCCTGATATTGCTAATCTTTTGACTTTTATATTTTGCCTAAATTTTACAGAGGAAGAAGTTGAGGCTGAAAAAAAGTTAACATTTGACTAAGATCAAATAACTTATAAAAGCTCTCTGCCTCCAAAAGTACTGGCTCTTCCTATCAATGAATACTACTTTATACCTAGTATTTTTCTTAATTTTAGTACCTCTATTGAATAAGCAGCATAACATGCTAGTTAAAAGTTCAGTAACTAGGGGCAGGAAGAAAATGCTTAGGTCTAAATTCTGTCCTTTACTAGCTATGTGAGCCTGGGTAAAGATAATGAGAATACTAACTACCTGTAAGTTTGATATATCTTTGATTAGATTTCTAGTCATACTGTTTCCAGTTCTTAATCTTTTCTTAGACTGTTTTCCTTGCTAGTCTTTAAAAGTTATAAAGAGCTTTATCCCCTACTTATATGATGACTGGTTTTCTCCTAAATATTTAGATATAGAAACAAATACATGGTTAGAGACTCATATTTAAAGAGGAAGAAACTGAGTGATTGATCATGATACTAGAGATTGAATGCAGGTCTTCATGCATGCTAGGCAAGCACACTACCACTCATCTACATTACAGCCCATTTTTAAGTTTTTATTTTGAGACAGGATTTTACTATGCTTCCCAGACGACCTTGAGTTTGGGATCCTCCTGCCTCAGACTCTTGATTAGCTGGAATTATAGGTGTCTGCAACCACTACACCAGCTATCAAGTGATATTAGGGTCAGGAGACTACATGATAGCTTTGCAAAATTATGCAGGGAAAATAGAATGAAAAATGTGGAAATATTAGAAGGTTGTACAGGTTATTTTTGTTGTTGTTGTTATTTAAAGGCACTTTCTATTTTGGAGAACATGTCTTAATTCTTGGTCACCATGTATAATATTAAACTTATCACCAAAATCTAACCTTAGGTTATATTACTTCCATCTCAAAGTAGTCTCTTTATTGGAACATTGAAAAGCAAAAATTAAAAAAAATTGCTTCTAGCTACACAAGGATTTAAATATAGCTGTAAAATATCAAAATTGTTATCTTTTTTATGTTTAGACATTCAGTTTACCTTATCATGTAATCATTACTTGATCTGTGATGAAGATGGGCTGACTTGACATCACCTGATAGAATCACTGTTTCCCTTAAGCAATGGCAAAGAAATCATTGTCATAGACATTCTTAATTGGACAGGAACCTCTTTTCTCTAAGTAATAATTACCAAAGAAATAGCTTTTAAAAAGTGTTTCCTCTTCCTTTTCTCTCTCCCTCCCAGGAGTTTCTTTGTAATAAGTTTGAAAAGTTACATATATACATATATTCATTTCATAATCATTTATATATTCATTTCAGAATCATTTTTCTTTGCAATTGTGTAAAAGGAAACATATACTCATTTTTTGTCTTCTCTTGCCTGGAATGGAATAAATTTTCACCTTAATCTTTCACATAATCTAATTTGCCAAAGATTTTACAATGATAGTTTTCTTGTTAAAAATGCTGAATAATAGCAATGTAGAACAATAACTTTTCTTCCTAATGGAATGCTACATCATCAAAGGTAGTTAATAATTCAAGACAATAAAATGTAATGTGACAGAGGGGAGAGAAATTTAAGTTTTAGAATTAAGAAGATTTGAGTTTGAATATCATCTTTCCATGCATAACAGACATGTGATACTGGAGAATCAATTAACCTCAGTTTAATCTTCTTTGTAATTGACACCACAGCTATTTCTGAGGATTGTTGTGATGATTTGAGATGGTATGTGATTTATTTGTGAAGATGTTGGGGTGTGGAGTCAGGGAAAGACATTGGCAGCGTCACTTACCAACTAGGTAACCTTGGGAGAACAGAGGTTAAAAACTACCTATAGGGTACACAGAACATAGGTTTATGGTAAAAATTCAAGGACATAATGCTTGTGAAGTGCTTGGTCTGTATACTCATAGTAATAGCACAATTGGTAGTAGTAGGAATATAGCAGTATTTTCACCAGTATCTGATGAATCTGTTTTAGGTTTAATTTATTATCAAAATCGAGAAGCTTGTTATGTCTAACCAAATTATTAGTAAAGTATTAACTTCATAATACATAAAGTATTAACTTTATGTTCCTTTTTAACAAGGAACATAATGAAAGTATGGGTATAATGTCTAATAGAATTAGAAAAAGAAATTTCATACACACACATACGTTAGTTTTAAGATAATGTAGGTTCAGGATATTCTGTACAAAGTCCATAAAGGATAACACTGAATTAGTTATCCTCTCATGACTATTAGAAATAAATTCTACTGTCCAAGGAGTCAAAAGTAACTCTTTATGTCAAATTTTTCAGTTATAATATTAAAATGTTCTGTATGACTAAATGTTACATTATTATCAGAAAGTCATATGAAGAAAAGTATAAACATCTGACCCTGCCTTAACAAAACTACAGTGTAGTAGATATTTGGGATTATATAAAATTACATATTTGAGGCAAACAGAAGTTTAGTAAATAGTACTACTAATAAAAAAAGAATGAGTACATGTGAAGTACGTTAACAGAAAAGTAGAATTAACTAAGGAAACCAAAAAGTGTTTGAGAACATGAACAAAAATTATATAAAAAACTCAAACAGGAATACATTGATCCATTAGTATAAGATCAAACCATGAAACATTTAGAAGAAAACAAAAAAAGATCTTGTAGAAGACCAAGATTGGTAAGATTGAGCAAGTGAGAGAGAAACCATAACTATTTAAAAAACTGGTAAGTTAAACCTCATTAAGACTTTAAACTTTTATCACAGCCATTGCAAACTGTAGCTAAAATGTATCAGGAATTATACATCTTGATAATGAGGTGATTACTCAACTAAAAATGGACAAAAAACTTGACAAAAAAAGTTATTCAGGTGGCAAAAAAGCACACAACATTATTCCCAGTCAAGGAAATGGAAATTAAGACCACAACATCATACCATTTCTCCACTAGTTAGGGAGGATAATTTTAAAAGTCTTACCTGGATAAGATGTGTTGGCATTGTGATGATACAGGCTGACAGAGAGGTTCTTAGAAGACCTCGGAGAACATAGAGGAACTTGGTAAGGCTGTGACTGTTGTTACAGTTTTCTGTACAGCAAACGTCATCTCCCCATAAAGGTGAACCAAGATTCTGAATTCCTATTCTTAAAATGTTTTTCTGTTTTTTCTAAAATAAATGGGAGGGAAGTAAACACATAAAGTTTTGTTAATTGATAGGATACTTCTTTTATTAGCCAGTTCTTATTTTTATTTATAACACCAGGAACACAATGTCAACAAATATGTTAAAAATTCAAGCTGTATTAGTAATAAGGTAATATAAAGGAAATCTTTTAGATTACAAGAGTATATATACAAAAAGAAAAACAGAACTAAACCAGGCATGATTGCGTAACTGTAGTTCTAGCTACTCAGGAGGGTGAGACAAGGGGAATGTTTGTATCCAGAAGTTTAAGGACAGCCTGGCAACATAGAAAAACTCTGTCTCTAAATAAGTAAACAAACAAACAAACAAACAATAGAACCGATTTTAACCATTTTTGGAAAATTTAAAGAGTATGACATACTTAAGCTTTCAATTGTGTCTAAATTTTATCAGTGATTATGCTAAGAATTATGTGGGAGGCAGTTAATACGTAAGGGATCACAGGAAACAAAGAGAAAAATCTAAAATTGAATGCTTGCAAACTTGTCCTTAGTATTTAGAAAATTTGAAAATTCTATAAATATTTCAATAAATTATAAATTGCTCAATATTTCTCATTTAACTTTATCTACTGCCTGATCTTTTTTGAAAAATGTTTAAGATGTTAAGATGTGAAACACTTTGGTTTTATATTTTACACTTGTCTCTAGGTTTTCCTCCTGAGACTGTTTGTATAATAGTAAAAATTCAACATTTTCATAAAATTTTAAAGTTGAACTTTTAGAATTTGAGCCTACTGACATTAATGTCATAATAATAGTGATTGATATTTCTTGGGGAAAGAATATTTAAAAATCATTAAAGAAAACCCAGGATGATTGTCAGTAAGTGTTTGCCAATAAATGTGTTTAATAATAAATTTTACTGTTTGTGTTATTTTAACTGAACAAATGTTTTGTAAATGCTTTCCCTAGAAATCTAACAAAATTTCTGGGCAAAAGAAAGACGTGTTAACAAAACTTGGCACACGAAAATATTTGGAAAATCATTATTATAATTCGAATGGGAAAAATAATATGTTCTTTCTTAAATCCATGATTTGGAATATGTGCCACTTTAAATATAATTTATGATGAAACAGGATCCTAAAATTTATTACAAGTTGTTGTTATAAAAACAACTAATAAGATTTTTAACCAATTAGTTATTGTCCAACATAGCTTATCTATTTCTCTGATATTATAGATGAAAATTGAATTTGTGAGCTCTTTTTTCAAGTAGAATTTATTGACAAAGAAAAGTAAGGAAAATGAATGAAACACTGAAATGTTACGAGGAAAATCCAAGGGAACAATAGGTGAAATGAATAACACTGGGACTGTTTGATCTGGACTATGAAACAAAGTAGATTCCAGTCAACACATACAGTTCTCTCTCAGTATCCATGGGTGATTGGTTCTAGGGCCCCCTGTGGATACCCAAATCTGTGGATGCTCAAATCCTATATATAAAATGATGCAGTATTTGCTTAACTTACGTACACACATCCTCTTGAATACTTGAAATTATCTCCAGGTTAATTATAATATCTAATACAATGCAAAGATTAAGAAACTAAAACTGGCAATACTTTAACCTATGGTCACTATTACCTACTACTGTTGTCTCAAAATGCACTGGTTATGCTGTATTATTTGGGACTAAGGAAAAAAAAGTCTATGCATGTTCAGTATTGATGATTTCTTTTTTTCATATAATTTTAATCTACAGTAGATTGCATCTGAAGATATGTAACACAGGGTCAACTGTATAGTGTTTTAAAATTTAGTTTTCTCATATTTAAAATTCATAGAATAGACTAAAACATTGTCCTATGATGCCATAAAATTCTTCAAATATATGAAAGGATGCAGTGGCCTGGATAGATTATGAGATTTCAGAAAAAGGAGTTTCCTAAGAGCTTTAGGAAAAAAACTTCATGACACCAAGGACCTGAACTAAATTGATGCGATCAAAGCAGTTAGCCTAATTTTCTTTTCTGGATTGTGTTAAAGTTATGACAGATAACCATCTAAGACACCCTATGTTATAATCTCAATGGTCCATAAAAATTGTTTTTTTTAAATTTCTGTACTACTTAAATAAAGTGAAAAAATACACAAGGCATATGTTAGAAATATAAATGTACATCTGTGAAATATAATGGGACATTACTTGTCTCATTTTCTTATTACTTAGAATGTCAAAATTAAGTTAAATAGCAAAAATTAAGGCTGATTTTGTTATCTCTAAGCTTATCTAATGATAACAAGCTTAAGTTAGACTCCTAACAGGAAGAGCCATCTAGAAAAAGGGAATAAGAATCTTACCCCCACCCCACCAAATCCAGATGTTAGAGGGAAACATGAAGTAAAGGGGAGCAGCATCATATTGTTTTCCTGACAGTGTTTAATAAACTAAAACTGGCGATACTTTAACCTATGGTCACCATTACCTATTATTGTTGTCTCAAAAAGCACTTGTTATAAATTTGTAACAAAAAACACTGTTAGATATGGAATCAGGAGCTACAGAAGACTTTGACAGACATACTGACATACGCATACAGAAGGAATGAAATTCTAAGCCAAAGAATGAATGAGTGATAAGATATTTAAGTCAGTAGGTATACAGCACATCAGAACACAATTGAGCATAATATTTTAATATAAGGAATACAGTTTTATTTTTAAAAGTATGATGGTAATTGCAAAAACAAAGGCCAAATACAAATCCCCTGTGTCATTTGGAATATCTCCTTTGTTGTGCCATATAATAATGGGTAACTGTGTGGTATGGTTAGATTTAATATCAAGAAACTTTTGCTGATCACTAAATTTATTCGTAAGGAAATATCTAACATATTTAATGTAATATTATAAGAAAAATCAATGTTCAAATTTCATTTTCATTATATTTCTTAGATACTTGAAAAATCACAACTTAAATAAAATTATAACAGCAATTTGTGTTTTCACTCCAAACATCTTTAGCAATTTGCTGTACTACTTATCTTACCAAGGTTAATTGTGAGGTAGCTTATAATAATTCCATCTCTAGAGTGTATTTCTCTCTGTTGTCTCCAACTATCTCAGTTTATTTGAAAATGTACTGATAGAGAAAATAAGACTTAAATTTCCTTCTAAAAAAGTCAGAACATGATTTTGGCTCAGAAATAATATTTTTTTTTGAAGTATTGCTTGATAGATAAATAATGTCTTTTGAATTCATCTAAAGTTTGTTTAACAGATGAATAAACTAGGTAACTCAAAAAACAGTGTAATCTATAATAATATGGAAATTTATTAACTACATTTTAGTTCTAATAAAATTGTAAGTGAATTTTGATAACAAATATTGGTATATGTTAATTTAAAATTTTAAGCATTACTGGTATTCATCACAGAAATGTCCAACTTAAACCTATTCAATCTTGGGCTGGGGTTGTGGCTCAGATGTAGAGTGCTTGCTTAGCATGGGTGAGGCACTGGTTCAATCCTCAGCACCACATAAAAATAAAATAAAGATATTGTGTCCACCTACAACTAAAAAATGTATACTTAAAAAAAAACCTGTTCAATCTTTATGAAAGTTAATAGAACTATGGTTCAGAGAACCACACGAGTTCCAGTTTATTGTTTATTAATTTCATAAAAAATTTATTGTTTTTTGAAAATGGCATTTTTTTAATACCCAAATATATAATTAAGAAAACAAAAATTTCATTCCATTTCCAAGACAAGCTTGTTCGTTAAGGAGTCTTAGGAAGTATCTCTATATGTATGTACGCATGTACATAATTCCTTTTGCAATTTATTGATTTTACTTTTATATATTCCAGAAAATTTCTTGCTCTCTGATGTATCATCATCCTGTAAGAGCAGCAGCTCTGCACACTGTACCATAGGAACTGTTATGACATGCCTGTTTCCATAGTTACCACAGCAAGTGGGGAGAGGTGTCTGTCAGGGACCAATTTACCTCTCCAGACGAGCACTGGCACCAAAGGGAAGACATGGTACTCATAAATCTTAGCAAGAACCAAAAATGGAGCAACAAGGATCAAAATAAAATTGTATTAAATACTAAAGATATCACAAAAACTGACACGTGAGAAAGCACCTACAAATAAATATCTGTACTTCCCCAAATATACATAACTGTTTTTAGCCTACTATTATATCAGCAATCAAAACAAAATTTAAAAATATTATTATTTTTGGCCATAGATAAATTGTTAAATACAGCCATAAAGTTTTACAAGACATTGTAAAATCTATAAATTAGTAGCCAATGTAGCTGAGCATGCCAAAATAAGATTTTTAGCTTTTCTGTTTTCTTCAATAAAAACAATGGTGCTTTGGAAATACTTTTGCTAAAATAATGTAAATGTAATACAAATCTTTTAGTTGCATATGCAATTAAAATCACTGAGAAGAAATTTTGAAAGGCATGATATCTTGAAATAAAAATTTCCTCATTCTGTTTAACTAACCAGAACATCTTTATTAGTGGAAATTTGGAGAATATTTTTAAAATTAGAGCTACAAAGAATAGTTAAGCTATAAAATATTTTAATACAGCAGTAAAAATGTATCTTTTATTCAATGAGACAACTCAAAGTGCAATATAAGAAGAAATAAATTCTTGAGATAATTCTTACATATAGGGTAATTCAAAATTAAGGCCTGAATGACAGAAACATGACAAATTTAGATAGAAAAGTACAGATCCTGTAGATTTTAAAGTAATTTTAAAATGTAGCTAATTATTAACCCCAGAAGCTATAAACAGATATTTGAAAATAATTAGTGTTGACAATGTGTGTGTATATCTTATTTGCATCCACTGAGAATTTAGCTAAAACTCTAAATACACATTAACAGACAAACTAAGGCTGTCTGTCTCTGCTTATTTACATTCTTTGTGCTTGAAAACAGATTGTTTGCTGTTGTTTCTTTTCTAAGACCTTCTAGGTGCAAACCTGAAGATTTTGAAAACAACATTAGATACATGAATACAAAAGGTTTTGAAAGTATTCAATACCTGGGGATTGGATCCATCAAATCCTTCCTCATAAATGGTGTTCTGGATGAACTGAAGCAGCTTTGTGTAGCCATGAATCAAAGAACTGTTGGTAAGAAGCAGGTCAAATACATAAATGGGCTTTTTAATAGGAACTAAAAAAATCAACACTAAAACATTCAGTAAATAATTAAAATATTTATATTCATTAGATAACTTAAAAAGAAATAAAATGTGTCAAATTAGTATTAAATAATCCTAAAATATAAATCAATACATAATATTAAGTTGCTCAGTGTTTTTGACATCATGGGAAGATAAAAATCTGTGGAGACTGAGATGACTTAATTATGTCAGGCTTAGTTACCTCCAAGAAAATTAATGATTTAATGAAGCAACCTAAAAGATGAAGCCACTATAGCTTTTCAGGAGTAATCATACATAATTAACACATAGATAATGAACTGCTATGCCAAGTACACCTGAATCAATGTTCTGATCACCTGAGCTCATCTTCCCATCAAAGTTTTAATTTTCTTAGAATAAACTGCTGAAATAATAGTAATTTAAAAACTTGATATTTTAAAACCACATTAAGACGAGTATAATTTCTTCTAAATTTATTGTTTATCCACTTTCTTTGTTAAAAGAAGACAAAATTGTGTAAATTTAAGAACATAAATTATTTCCCCCATGAAAATTGCATTAATATTACCATTTAAAAATATTTTACAAATACTATAAAATATCTCAAAGAAAATTTAGTACGAATGAACAAAATCTGCTTCACACTAACTGAAGGTAAGGCTCTGTCTAATGGACAACCTATGTGTTCTGGCTAAACATCAAATGTCATGACAATGAGAATGTGCTTGGAACATAGCTATTCATAGACTCTGGTATGTATAGTACTATAAAAACTGTGCATGACCTTAAAAACACAAAATTGTTTGCTTTACTGAAATCCTATATATATCAATCACATAAGCAGAAAAAAATGCCCTAAAGAAAGAATGAAATATAATTTGAAGTATGCATTCAACAGTAAAGAATATTAAAAGTTAGGATATATTCCAGACTGCTTAGTGTGAAAAATCAGTGGTGGGTGGCTCAACAGAAATATATGTACATCTCTGTAAATAAGTTATTGATCAGCCACAGCTAACTTAAAGGTATCTTAAGAAACAAAAAAGAAAACCAAGTGAACAGAATTCTCTTCTGTGTAAAACAAATATGGCTTCAGATAATGAGGGATTTGATATTACAGTTATTTCTCCATTTTCAGTGAAAATACAGTAGAATACACGAACATATTTTTTGACTTTCATGAGTGAGGAAATATTTTTATAAATAATATTCTGCAAGGGCAATTTTTTGACTAGTTCATATCTTAACACACATTTGTTTTGGCTAGTTCAAGTTTTAGAACACAAATGCTACTGCTTGAATCCGATATATTCAATTGCTATCTGGGTCAATTAACTTTGCACAGAGGGTAAAATCTGCCCAAAGTCCCAGATTGTGAAATGAATTGCAGCCAACCACTTGATGAATGTCACTGTGGGTTAAAGGAGGCGCATAAACCCAATGTCTCCTGATCCACCAATAATACATCCGTCCAATGATAATGATGATAATATGAGATCCTATAATATTTGTCTTTCTGTGCTTGGCTTATTTCACTTAGTATAAGGTCCTCCAGTTTCATTCAGTTTGTCGCAAATAATAGAATTTCCTTCTTTTCAAAGGTTAAATAGTATTCCATTATGTGTTTTGTATGTATATTCATACCACATTTTCTTCCTTCATCTCTTGATGAACACTTAGGTTGATTTCATATCGTGGCTATTGTGAATAATGCAGCAGTGAACATGGGAGTACATGTATCCCCCTCAACCTACTAATTTAATTTCCTTTAGATAGAAACCCAGAAGTGGGATTGTTAGATACATAGTTCTATTCTTAAATTTTGAGGAACCTCATACTGGTTTCTGTAGCAGATATATTAATTTATCTTCCCTCCAATGGCTTACAAGAATTCCCTTTTCTTCATATTCTAGCCAATATCTATCATCTATCTTTTTGAAAATAGCCATTTTAACAGGTGTAAAGTGATATCTCATTGTGATTTTAATTTGCATTTTCTTCATGATTAATGATGTGCATCATTTTTTCATGAACTTACTGTCCATTTGTATGTCTTCTTTTGAGAAATGTCTATTTTATTCATTTGCTCATTTATTGAGTTGTTTGAGTTCCTAATATATTTTGGGTTTTAACCTCTTATCAGACATATTTTCTCCCATCCATAAGACTATATCTTCACTCTGCTGATTGTTTCATTTACTGTGGAAAATAGGGAGGTTCTTTCACGTGAGAACAAAAATGAAGACATAAAGATAATACATCTTAATTGCTTTCCTTATTTAGCATTGACACAAAACAATCAAATTGTCAACAATTCTTTGAAGTTATAAATAATAAATTTCTGCAACTAATTAGAGTTTAAGGAAAATAAATACTTTGATAAAATAAAAGAGAAGTTATACTCCATGTATGTATACTATGTCAAAATACACTCTATTGTCATGTAAATTTAAAAAGAACAAATTAAAAAAAAGAATTTTGGGGACCTTTTCTTCAGAAAATCTGATTTCAAAGTATTAAATAAACTGAGAATTCTTTAACAAAAAAGGGAAAAGTCAATACATTTAGGTATATTAATTGGGAATATTAATTTTTAATTTTTAGATACATAGTATTTAATCATTTAAAACTAAAATCATTTACATGATTTGGTATGAAAATACTAAGTACTCTTAATCACCACCTATTCTTGCATTTATACTTACAATAATATTTTTTTAAGAAAATAAATATCTTCTATTTTCATCTAATATTTTGGCTTTCTTATTAAAATTATTTAATTTTAAAACATCTGTGTGTGTGTGTTAATTAGTCTAGCAAAAGAAATTGGCAAGAGGGAAACTTGTTTACAAATATGACACTAGCTGATTTTTAATGTTTCCAAATATTTAACAAAGTTTAGGTTAATCTAAGTTTTTCAAACCTGCTGTAAGGCAGTACATTTTTAATTGTGTATACTATATTACCTGATTTCAAGTAATTTTAACTTTTATGTTATAATTTGAGATTGTACAATCTATCTTTAAAATTATCACACTACAAAGAATATAAAAATAATAACTAGAAGTCTAATTTTTACCTTTAAAATATCAGGCAGTTGAAATTATCTTTAGTTAAAAAAGGTTTTAACAACTTGCGTAAGAGGTGTCAAGGTTTTGTCTGTGAAAATATAAATTATAAAAATTATATATATGAAATTAAAATAACTAGTTGATAAGTATATAAAGGGACCTTTGGGTTATTTTTTAAAACAAGACTAATTGATTTTAGTTAAATCAACTGATAATGTTTGGTACACAGTAAATACTCAAAAAACTTTGGCATCTCAGAGTCACAGGTAATGAATATAATAACCTTGTGAGTTAAGTATTACCCTTATCCCATTTTATAATTGAAAAAATTAAGATTCATTAGGGATCTGTCCAAGACTATACAACAATTAAGTGATAGAAGTGTCACTTAAAATTAAATTTTTCTAAAACTTCAATTTATCTGCTCTTTTGACTACACTGAGATAAAACCTAAGAATGAGATTTAAATTCAGTGAAGTCTATGGGTTCAAATATACTAATGGGGCTTATAGGAGGTCTGAACCTCGCTTCATTCAACATGCCAAATGAAGCATTTGGTGTATAACTTTAGGAAGAAATTTCTCTTTTATTTGTATCTTTGAAGCTTTTACAAATGGACCTTAGTTGTATTAATTTGGAACAAAATGTGTAAAAAACCCCACGGTGTTGAACACTGCAGATTTATAAATACATAACCAGCTACAAGTATTGCATGATAGAAATTAAGCTGAAGATCTGGGTTACTGAGAGACCCAACATGGCGGCCGGCAAGGAGGCAGCACTTTCAATACCTCCACAGTAACGGGATCAGAGAGACCCATTAATACACCTACATGCTACCTGCTGAGAAACTTCTAGCAAAATTCCGCTGAAAGGAGACCTGCCAGGAATTAGTAAGTTTATTGGAAGTGTCAGTTTGTCTCGGCCACGAGGCACAGGGGCCCAGTCCCGCTGGCTGCCGCCAAAGGCCACTGCTAGCCCTGCGGCGAACGTTCAAACAGCCGCTGCCTGCCCGGGCCCCTGCCGGCCCGGCTCTGTAAACTGCCCCCAGCGGTTCGGCGCTGCAAACGACCCCCCCTCCCCCCCCCTCTGGTGAACAGCTCCCACCCCCCCCTCTACGAGCAGCCCCACCCGCCCCGCACTGCGAACAGCCCCGCCCGCACGGCGAACAGGGCCCTGCCCGCCCGGCTCAGGAGGCAACGTGAAGGGACTCTAACCAAGCCTTTATGAAATAGCGAACTGGGAGCTAAAACCAGAGATTGAGTCAGACCAGAGACAAGCCAGTCCCACCCCTCCCTTCCGATACTCCGGCAAGGAGCCAGGGGCCCCCCATAGCAGAGAGGGGAAGTCACCAGAGTTCGGCCAACGAGATTCCTTCCCAGCGGAATCTACTTTAGAAGGAGTGACTGAAATTGTCCTTGGAAAAGGATGTGGGGGAGAAGAAAGAGAGATAAGGATCACTAGGCAATGCTGAGCTGACGTGGATCTGGGGCGAACAGTTTGGGCCCCTCAGAACACACACACAGAGCCCGGATCGGCTGCATTCAAGTTCGCCTGCTTCTCGTGACTCAGCACTAACGATCCCGCTGAAATAACTGGTCGGCCCGTCTGAACATACAGAGGTAAAAGCCAACCGAGCCTTCATAGGCAGTGGCCACAGGACTGAAACGGGGCTTGGGAAAGTCAGTCAGGACTCACCCGTTGCATTGGTCACCCGGCAAAGGGAACGAACGGTCACCATTTGCACGGGATACCACCTTGGCAGAGAACTGACGTCATGGGCTGAGGAGATAACTTCATTGAAACCAGCGCGACAGGTGTGTAATCCCCTAGCCATCTCTCTCCACACAGCGGGGAAACCTTAAGAGCCCCTCCCAGCTCTCCCGTA